GATTGGCAGAGGGGGGTGGCGGAGATGGAGCGGTTGGAAAAGTGAAGGAGTCTGGCAGCCGTATTCAGGATCGACTGAAGCGGGGATAGCCAGCGGCAAGGCAGGCCAGTGAGGAGGGAGTTGCAGTAATCGAGTCGTGATATGATGAGGGAGTGGATGAGCTGTTTAGTGGTTTCTGGGGTTAGGAACGTGCGGATTTTGGTGATGTTGCGGAGGTGGAGTCTACATGAGTTTGTTAGTGATTGGACTTGGGGCTGGAAGGATAGGTTGGAGTCCAAAATGACACCAAGTACTCTGGCCTGCGGGGCGGGTTTGATGGTGGCGTTGTTGGATGTGATGGAGAAGTCAATGGGGGGTGGTGAAAAATAAATATATATGTCACTTTTGTGCAAAAAATAAATATAACTTTAACAAACAAGATGTGAATAATAAGTTTGACTTCATTAAATCAGTCCATCATATCACATAAATATCCAACACCAATGATATTCAAAGTGCTCGTGCTTAAAATCCACTTTGTGCAATCTTGTGCCAACAAAGTGCTCCCAGAACTCTCACCTCCAAAGCTCTTTGGAATAGCATATATGAATATATTTCCGTTATTCTCCTCCACTCCTCATGAATGCTCCATACACCTCTTCTCTTAAATGCCTGCCCACATCAGAAGCACCCCTTCTACCTTTGATGAGCCGTATCAACTCATTCACACATGCAAGAAATAACGCTTCATATGGTGCATTAAACTTTAAAACCAATATAATTTATTGCTCTTATATAAAAACAGTATAAAAAAGCATTTGTATTCCCATATCCAGCCTCCATGTATCACCTCCTGTTGTGGTCTGCCTCCAACTACGGTAGCTATTGGAGGTAAGAGTTCTGGGAGCACTTTGTTGGCACAAGATTGCACAAAGTGGATTTTAAGCACGAGCACTTTGAATATCATTGGTGTTGGACATTTATGTGATATGATGGATTGATTTAATGAAGTCAAACTTATTATTCACATCTTGTTTGTTAAGGTTATATTTATTTTTTGCACAAAAATGATATATATTTATTTTCTACGCTTTAGTAAGCAGCTCTACATCATTTTTTAATATATTTTGCACACACTATGTGGGAACACATGCAGATGTTAGCAGCAGCACACATTTATTGACACATTGAGGCACTATATTGAGTTGGTGCAGGAGTTTCTTACCCATTTAGTTACAGTAACATGTTTTTCCTTTTGGGATAAAGGTTTTACATAAATAAATAAAAGCTGATCATTGTAAGCATCCCTGTCAGCAATAAATTGTTTCAATCCTCGAACGAATGCAGCCACTACATCTAAGCTGCAATATATACATTTTTTTATGTTGGGTTTAGATATACTTTGATGTCTTCTACTGAGCCCTGGCCTCTATCCTGTTATAGTGTAATACATATATACCATAACAGCTCCCCAGCTGCACTTACTCCCTTTTCTTTTGCTTCAGCCATTAGACCCCGGTCGCACTGGGTGTGACTTGGCATGCAATTTGCATGCCATGCGAATTGCAAATCGCATGCCAAGTCACACCCTATTGTCCGCAATTACTGCAGTCATATCGCTGCAGTTCTGACTTGGTCGGAGCACACCAATTTCTAAAGCAGTATATGCACTACATTTGGTGCGATTTGCATGGACATCTGTGTCAGATGTCTTGCAGATCGCACCTGAAATCAGCATCTCACCCGACTTTGAAATTGTGCGAGTTCACTGTAAGTCGCACGATTTCAAAGTCGGGCTTGCTGTGATCGGAGTGTAAGCAGTGAACAAAAAAAAAATACCCAGTACTTACTAGTGTAAAAAAACATGACTCAGCCCCCTCCTCTTATCATGTGACAGATTTAGTGCTTGGAGTTTGGTCCAGTACTGTCACATCAAGAGGGGACATTAAGAGTGATTTTTAGATTTCACATTGCTTCTTTTCTTGCTCCTGGTGACTTACAGAAGGTACTGCGGAGGGGGTATTAAAGCAAACCTGATGCTTTGTACTCTATGCACAAATAACAGGTTGCATTTAAAGAATAACTCTGCTTTTGTTGGAAAAAAAAAAAATAGAAATTAAAAAATTAATACAACATATACAGCTGCTGGAAAATGCATATTGTAATTATTAAACACTTTTTCCTGCGGTTGCTGTAATTTTCTAAATTCAATGCAGTATGGCTCCTGGAGGTGTTCCCAACAGAATTGGTGTATAGAACGCCTCCAGAAATGTCACATCCGGCTTGTGTGAAGAAGTCTGTACTAAGATACAAGTCATCCTCTCCAATAAAAATGTCATTTTTAGTTAGATATTCCCTAAAGGCTAACCACTTCTACAGGGATGCAGACACTGCAGCTTTTTTACATCAGGACCATGGAAGTGCACCAGCTGATTAAAATTAATTAGTGGCTCACATTCAGATTCAGAATCTAAAGACAAAAAGTGGAACAAATGGCTTTTTTCAGGGCATAAACAATTGGGAATATGTAATAAAGGATGTTTAAATCCCTGCAATGTACATTGATCACTCAGGAGGGATTGTTCTTTCTCAGCAAAATTGGAGTTATTCTTTAAGGGATACATTGTGACACTTTACTATGTTTGAACAGGTTTGATGTAAATGCAGTTGCTTTCTGGGTAAACCATTATGCAGCAACAGCATATGGACCTTTGAGCTGCTGGTCATGTAGCACTTGCATGGTTTACTAGAGTTATAATTACCCTTTGCCTGTGTGCTTTACCATAAGATGGTAGTTGCCCCTGTGATTTGGCAAAGCAACTTTAAGTGAGAGAGCTTACTACTGGGATTCCAGAGATAAGTACATATAGCATATAACACAACACCATAGTAGATAAAAAAATACACCAGCCTAACTGTACTTTGGAGTGCTAATGCTTTTAAATTCCAGATCTGTGTGCAATAAATTGGAATGTTTGCCCCTCTATGAGAATTCATTATCAGCATATCACTGATTAGGGCTGAAGCCTATGAAATTCTTTAAATTGCTTGTAAGAGTTCAGCAGAGACCAGCCAAGATTTGATCCACATGTGGGCAGGCTGATTGGATCGACTAGGGCAAAAACCAGCATGTCAGATTTCTAGCATGCCATTATTGGCAGTGGCTAGTAATAATCACTGTACTCTCGTGGCAGGGACGGCTCCCTGCAACCACCTCCCTCCGCTGGAAGAACACAATAGTTTTGGGGGAAGGATTCCCCCATCAACACTTTCTGTGCTGATGGGGATATCGAACAACTTTTCTTTCCTGCAACCTGTGGTTACAGGAAAGAAAATTGAATAATCTACAGCAGGGGTCTCCAAACCTTTTAAACAAAGGGCCAGTTTACTGTCCTTTAGGCTTTGGGGGGCCGGACTGTTCCCAGTGGGAGTAAAAAAAAAGCCCCAGCGTCAGTTGAAGTAAACAATGCCCCATCCTTGGTTTTAGCGGAGGAAATAATGCCCCAGTCTTGCTTTTAGTGGGAGGAATAATGCCCCATTGTTGGTTTTAGTCAGAGGAACAATGCCCCATTGTTGGTTTTAATCTGAGGAATAATGCCCCATAATAATGTCCATATTCGTTCATATATGCCAGCTTTTGGAGCTATGAATCATTTTGTCTATGTAAGATTATCCAGGGGAATGTACAAATATTAACTCCATGGTATGGACGTCAGGCTCTGGTAAAATGGCTGCCGCGAGCCCGCCCCTTCATTAGTACATCCCCTGAGTGCTCCTATATATAAGTATCATGGCACCAGTAGGCGTTAACCCTGATGAAGTCACGAGTCACGTGACGCAACGCGTCGGTACGCCATTTCCAGTATGAGGTGACGCACTTCCGGCAGCGGCCATCTTGCTGCACCCAGTATACCATGCAGTACACCCATAGAATGTGGTGACAGGCGTTTTTGTTACTGGGGATACATGTGAGTGCTTTACCTACTTTTATCTGCAATTTAAATAAAAGGATACTGCACTATGGAAGGTTTCTTGCTTTATACCCTATATATGCAATCTTGAGTGGAGGTGGAGTGAATAAGGTGCGCTGGGCAGAGGTCTTTACCCTATTCCAAAGTCCCTGTGATGAGGAGTGGAGTGAAGAGGATCTGTTACTATTAAATATAGCCCTGTGGCCCTGCGTGGGTCAATGTGTGGAGGTGAGCAGGCATTGCTGCCATTTGAGGATTTCTGTTTAATTTTCACTGGAGTGAAGGTCACATCAGCACGGTCTCACTTGCATGGACCTTATGTTTTCAAAACACAGAATTTGATTTGTAGAGATTGATATATAGCATTGGATGTTTTTGTTTTTTTTTTTACTCTCATTAAAGAACCACTTCACTACTATTTGTATTTTTTCACCATAATAAGGTTATGTTTCACTTATATATTTGTTGAATGAGATGAATTCGTTTGCAATAATTTTTCACTGAGCACCATTGTGTTTGCATGGCAAGCAATATTTAACACTTATTTTTACTTATTAGATAGATTTTGTTTATAGCGCTGCACTATTCACAGTTTTTTGCAATATTACTTATTGGTGCCCCATCTTTGGTGCCTGTGGAAGGAATGGTCCCCCATTATTGGTGTCAGTGGATGGAAGGGTGCCCCAAGGGCCAGATAAAGGCAAGCAAAGGGCCACATCTGGCCCACAGGCCGCAGTTTGGAGACCACTGATCTAATGCCTGTGTTCATTAAGCTCATTTCAAATATCCTGGACCTGACCTTGTACGAAAAAGGGTCCTCAGCCTCAAAACAAATAGAGCATATTGTAAAGGTTTCCAGTTTTTTCCTATAAATTTTGACAATGGCCTGTTTGTTGCTGCCCGTTTCTTACTAATTCTATGTTTGTAGCACAAAAGGAAAAGAGACTTACTGCCAAAGGGAATACTAATCCTTAAAAACATTTGATAATATAACAAAGAAATGAATTACACATTTTAAAATAAACATCAGGATTTTATGAGACATTTTACCTGTTTTTACTCTGCTGTCTTTCCCAATTACTCCATCAGGATCTACACTTGTGACAAAGATAGGCAGGTCCCATTCCCAATTTGACACACCACCAGCCACTGTCATTCCCAGGGACTCTGTATGGTCCTTTACAATATTCACAACTTTCTCCACACACAGGATCGTCCGATTAGCATTCTGTGTAAAAACAACACATACTGTAATTAACTTGTGTATTAGAACACACATAATGTGAAAATAAAAGGAAAGAAGCCTAAATTATAAGTTCAGAAATAACAGTCATGTGAGTTACATAAAATAAATTGTTACATACTGTATAGGGATGATACAATAAGGAGAGCAAATACTAAAAAGTAAAAACTGTTAGACACATCCACACTCAACACCTATGCCCACGCATTGACACTAAGGCCCCTTTCAGATGGGGTGGACCTGTCAGTGGATCCGATTGCTCAGCAGTGGATCTCTCCACTGATCCCCACTGAGCAGGCAGATGACAGGTCTGTGTCTGCTCCTCTGCTGCAGAACAGACACAGCATGCTGTTTTCTATGGGGCGGTTAGCTGGAAACGGACAGCCTTGTCCGTTTCCACCCAGCTATCACCCCACCTGCTAGACGGATGGGGAACCCCATCTGTCTGTTTTTAGCGTACAGGATCAGATTGGATGCCGGCAGGTGTCAGTGGACACATGTCTGCTGACACCCGCTGGTCCATAGTGGGCTAGGGATGGTCCAATCTGGTCCACTTGAAAAACTGACAGGTGGACCCGATTGGACCGTCAGTGTGAAAGAGGCCTAATAAACTGGATCATTTATCACACAAGTTAGAGACACAATTTCCTAATAATCAATTCAGCAAAGTCTCTGCGCAGGTTTACAGACCTGTGCATCTGTATTCCTGAGCAGCCATGTGTGACAGTTTGCAAAGTTCAAAAACAGATTTATTACTGAAGATAAGGCAGATTTACACCCTAAACAAATGCATAATTAAGAAGTCGCCACGGATGGGTTTCATTCAGTCACAAATGCGATTTTAGACCAGTCAAAAGAGGGAATTTAGGACTCGCTGCTTCTAGTCTACATTGCTTTTCCCTGGGACAGGATTGATAAATGACCCTCTAACACATTTCAAATCCAGATTGACAAGTTGTATTTGTAAGTGTGCATATGTATTTCCATAATTTGAACAGAAAGTGCCGATAGAATTGGCCACTTCAGACTGCTGCCTCTCTTGTTCACCACATGACTTTGATCCTTCCCTTTTTTCAGGTCCCATTCATATGCATTTTTCCAACAGATTGCAGAATTACCCCCTATGACAATGGGCACCATTGACACCAAAAGGAACACAGTACCAGGGGAGGATCACTCAAATTCAGTGTGCTATTATCCTATGAAATAGGACGTACAAAATATCACTTAATTCACAAAGAATATTTATACTAATGTTAAGATAGCACCAAAAATTAATTATGCTGCAGTATTATCTTTAGATGAGTCTCCAAACTGGAATCTCCATGCAGTTCATTAAACTACTTCTCTAGAGAAAGGTACATTTTAGGTGATAGCAGCAGTTATGTTTTATTAACAGCAAGAAGACAGTAGTAACTGCATAAGAACATACAGTATAGGCTTTGCTGAAGGATAGAATGAACTAATTAATGTGAAATAAATAATAATTATAAATAATAATAATATTAATAATGCACTTAAAATCAGTTGAATTGGTTTAAAATATATTATTAATTATATACATATATTATGTATTAATGTATTTACATAATGTAAATGCATAATATTATGTATTATATTTTTTAAAATATATTAATAATTATATACAAATTATGTATTTGCAATTATACAAAATCACAATCATGATAACAAATTCATTGTTTTGCTTGTCCTGACCTGGCTTAAAATTGAAATAATTTTCAAATGATTTATATGATATAACTATTTTTTCTGATAATGGAAATATATTGTAGCCAAGAACTTTGCTTATTATAAGCACAGATCTACAGGTACCTGGCAGTGGTTTTATAGGGAACAGCATTGATCTACTGGTCCATAGTTTTACCTTCATGGTTATTTTATGGTTCAGTGTTATGCAGGCCATAGAGTCTATGGCATAGACGGTTTGTTTATCGGACTGATTTTTCGTCTGAAAGAATAATTGGTTGATTTTTGCACTGTTAGTGGGGCAATGGCATTGGCCGATTTTGTAGTTCCTCCTCATTTCGTTTATCGGTCAGGCTGAAAAATTCATGAAAAACAACCAATTTTTCGAAATCATTGGTGGCAACATTGGTTTACAGAACGAATGAGGTTTTGTTTTTCGAACGAAAAATCGACCGATAAAGGAACCATTTATGGCCTGCATTAATGGGATAAGATTGCTTTATATAGCCCCTAAATTTTTGGATAATGTACACACAAATTTGTTTAATAATATCAGCATAAGAATATTTAAAAAAAAATATGACCATAAGGCTGCTTTTCCAGGTTTGCAAATCTACTTTATTAAGATGCAAAAAGCTGGCAAAAAAATAGAAAACACAAAAAATGACATTTCCTCTAAAATGTAAACCAATCTTAGTATTATTATTTTATACTTTATCTCCAGTTTTTAAACCCGCTGTCCTTTCATAAAGACCCCTTCAAAGCATGACAAACAACACAATTTTTATGTTTATGGTAAGATAAATATTTATATCGGAAAAAACACAATGTGAAAGTTGTAACACGTGTCGCACACACATGTCACAGCTGCGTGTGAGCTAGGAGCAGAAGGAGAGGGAGCCACTCCCTGCAGCTGCTGGACAGGCAGCCCAACATGTAAGGATGGAAGGGAAGGCAGCACATCACTCTCCCTCTCTTATATTTATCTGCACATTACAAGGATTTGGTTAAAGACCCAAAAGAGAAAAGGCTTCATACAGATTTTGACCTATTTCTGTCAAATTCAATATAATGAGTTTTTAACAATGCATTAGAGTCTGGAAATAGTCATTATTTCAGTTCATTAGTTGCTCTATCTTTCTTCAACGGTCTATCGTTTTATTTTAAATGGGCATGTATTACACATTTTAAAATGTTAATTATGAATGCTTTTCTCAACAAAGGAGGTGAGTTTCAGCCAACTCTTCTTTCACTATGTATTTCCTTGAATCTAGATTGTGTAACTGATAAAGTGGAGATGGAGTTTCTTATCTTATGTTAGTTTCATGGAGGCAGCAGTGTCACACATTGATGAAAAAGCCCTGGAGCTGCAGAGGGAAAAGTGAAAATAGAAAGTGATTAGAGGCTTGTCTATCTCTTTAGAAGTTGTTTCTCCTCCAGCTTTTCTCATCATATCCTATTCTTTCTTATCTTGTAGGTCTGTGGAACAGCAGTAAAGTGACACATTAACAAAGTGATATAACATACAGTATATACGCTCACCAGCCACTTTATTAGGTACACCTTTGCTAGTGCCAAGAAAATATCCTCCACACCATTACACCACCACCAGCCTGAACCATTGATACAAGGCAGGATGGATCCATGTTTTCATGTTGTTTACGCTAAATTTTGACCCTGCCATCTCAATGTCACAGCAACCAGTCTGCCCATTCTCCTCTGACCTCTGACATCAACAAGGCATTTTTGTCCACACAACTTCCGCTCACTGGATTTTTTCACTTTTTCGGACCATTCTCTGTAAACCCTAGAGATCGTTGTGTGTGAAAATCCCAGTAGATCAACAGATTTTGAAATACTCAGACCAGCCCGTCTGGCACCAACAACCATGCCATGTTCAGAGTCACTTAAATCCCCTTTCTTTCCCATTTTGATGCTCGGTTTGAACTTCAGCAAGTCATCTTCACCACGTCTACATGCCTAAATGCATTGAGTTGTTGCATTGATTGGCTGATTAGCAATTTGAGTTATCAAGCAATTGAACCGCTATAACTAATCATATTGTAAAGCGCTGAGCACACTGTTTGCGCTATATAAATCCTGTATAATAATAATAATAATGATGAAGTGGCTGGTGAGTGTAATTGTAACACAAGCCACTTTAAAGTTTAATTAAAAAGAAAAAAAAAGGTTGTTGCTACTTTAAGAGAAGTATGGCCAAAGCTTTTTTGGTTACACTTCTCTTTAGGGTCACAAGAGAACACTTCTGTACTTTTGTAAATAGTGACCCAAAGCTATTGCCTGCTATTGGCTGATGGAGCAGAGCCAATCTAAGCTCTGGAAGGATCCCGACAATATTGTCAGGATCTATCTCTAGGCCCATGACTGAGAGCTGGAGCCAATTGTGCCTGCCGCTTCTGCTGCCTGGTGCTCCAATGAGTGCTGGAGGAGAAGAACAGTGCAGAGTTGAGTAGTTCAGTTAAATACACTGGGGAGGGCTGGCAACACTCTGTCCACAAAAAACGCTGTGTGTTGTCAGGCCACAGTAAGACTTAATGGGTAGATTTTTAGCATATTATTATTATTATATACAGTATTTATAAAGCGCCAATAGTTCGCTCAGCGCTGTACATTACAAAGGGGGACAGAACATGTGACAGAACAATACCAATACAATGCAAAACATGAGGGGATTGAGGGCTCTTTCGAGCTTACAATCTAGGAGGGAGGGGATGGTGGCACAGGAGGAGATAGCTGTGGGGAATGGAGTGGTAGGAAGAGTGGAGGAGGTCAGCAAGTTAGCAGGGGGTGGGGTAGGCTTCCCTGAAGAGATGGGTTTTCAGGGTGCACCTAAAGGAGAGGAGAGTAGGTGAGAATCTGATGGGTTGGGGCAGGGAGTTCCAGAGGATGGGTGACACCCTGGAGAAGTCCTGGTGGCGGGCATGGGAGGAGGAGACCAGGGAACTAGAGAGAAGGAGGTCTTGTGAGGAGCGGAGTGTGCGTGCTGGGCGGTACTTGGATAATAGGTCAGTGATGTAGTTCGGGGCAGTATGGTGGACAGCTTTGTACGTCAGTGTTAGGATTTTGAATTTGATCCGTTGCGCAATCGGAAGCCAGTGGAGGGATTGGCAGAGGGGGGTTGGCGGAAACGGAGCGGTTGGAAAGGTGAATGAGTCTGGCAGCCGTATTCAGGATCGACTGAAGCGGGGATAGCCAGCGGTGAGGCAGGCCAATAAGGAGGGAGTTGCAGTAGTCGAGTCGTGATTTGATGAGGGAGT